CATCGGTAAATAATCATTGCCTTAACGTTAACATCTTTTTATCTAAATGGAGTTGTATATAACAATTATATTCAAACATGTTATAAAACACTCCAAAAGAAATAAGCATGGTATACTACTATTCGCCTACTCTCCAAGTTGTATATATAATTCATGCTATTTATGTATGTCGATTATTCCACGCCAATTTCTAATCTTTAAGCTAGACCATTAATCATTTTTGTCCCTAGCTTACTCAGTTAACTATATTAACAGGAGAGCCAATCATGTCCCTAGATCCTTAAATATTTTCTCTAATATAATAGTATGTAAACCCGAGGGGCTGTAGTGATCAAAAGGTAAAAAAGAGCACGTTGTGCACTGAAAACACACCATGACCGATGACAATGTGAATAGCAAATCGTTTTCAATCCGTATTATGTTTATATGTATATCTGATTAGGACTGCACACATTCTCTTAATAGGGGAGGTGGAGGGCAGATTTTTATTTTTTTTATTTGAGAAATCGATTGTCTCTCAAAACACTCGGACCTGTACGAGCGTGTAAACATTCTGTGAGAAAAGTCCCACGAGATCTGAACTGCCGACCATATTTTCAGTAATTAATGTAAAAAGATCCGCAAAAGGTTACAATTATATGAAAGCCTGTATATATTGTACCTGGGTTGTCACAACACGTACAACTGTTCATCATAGACTATTAAACTATATAGTTTCATTATACATGTATTTAACTTTTGAAGTGCTCCCGTGGAGGGGTCGGGTGGTCGAGTGATGACGGATATGGTGTGAGGTTCAATGCACCAACCCAACAGTACGTGACTAAAAGTATTGTTGCCAGTACCTCATCTGATGTGTACATATTCTCCCATGTTCTGCACAGTTCAGTTACCAGAGACCCAATAGAGTCACCAACTGAGATATAGGAATTTACTAAAACATAATTTTTTACCAACATAAAATTTGACAGTTTCTTGGCTCAGGGGAAGATGGTTTCAAATTTACAGCAACAAAATCTGTCTTGGCGCAACATCAATAACCGTTTATATTTCTAGTCTGAATGATTATGGTTGTTAATAACTGCTATTCTTGGTTACATTAGTGCTCAATGGAGCACGTGTTACGCCCATATTACCTTCATAGTACCTCCACGGTAAATATTTTTAAGCTGTAAATGTTTTAAACGTGTTGTTCCCTCATAGTGCAATTGGGATATAAAAAATGAAGGTTTTTGAGAAATCAACGAGCAGACATTATTTATTACGACCTCATCAAATTGCATACCACTCACCAAAGATCTATAAAGAAAACGCAGATTAGGATCAAAGAGGTTTCAAACTTTTACGACGTTAGACTAAATAATATTGCGACGGCAATTGACTTCGAATGGACTCAACTTAAGTTATAAATGATGAATTTGAATAAATATATTTAGAGAGAATATGATTAATGATATGGATAAATGTTTAGAAAGAATACCGGTGTAATTCTCGGTACTAGGCTAGCAAATGATTCTCCCCTTCTTTCAATAATTCGTTTATTAAACAATTGAACCCTTAAAGTTGTGATTGCATAGAAGATTAAGCAGCGCCTTGCGTCAGTCGAGCACCAACTATCATAATACAAACTGTAGTTGGTAGGATTGTGCATCATCAGAGCTGAAATAAAATAATTAAATTCCTTTTACACCCAGTCTGTATGTCGTCAAACCCATTTCTTACAGTTAGTCTAGGTAATGAACCATCAACATGCACTCAATAAAGCTCTACACACATCGTTTGATGTAAAGGGTGTACTTTCAACAAAAGTTGTTTGGCTCTTTTGTAGGGTAGCGGATATTTTACTGACTGATAGCAATACTGTGATTGTTAACCATGTGAGCTTTACAATTTAAGGTGTTTCCCTTTCGACTATCACAACGTGTAGTTATGTGGGGCGATGCTTTCAGAAGCTGGCGCTGCTTGGGAAAAGATAACCTCTAGCATCCCTAAATTCACCATCTACATTAAATTCCAGTTCACGACACGAAGTCCAGAACTAAATTTTAAAATAAAGTGATATTGGAAATTGCCATGTGCATAGAATGTTGACCGTAGTAGGAGAATATTATAATGACAAGTGGTTCTTACCACTAGAAATACTCTAAAAGAGTAAGTTGTTTGAAAACGTATCACATGGCTTGAGACGGTTGCCCTGGGCTAAGATAGAGGGGCTTTTCACACAAAATTAATTTCCCAAATATATCTGACATTGCCTCTTTAATGTCCGCGAGATTAAAATTCCGGCTATGTTCACCTGTTGTTGACGTAGGTAAAATAACACATGTAAAACACTAACTAGGTTTTATTTACACAACATAGATTTCTGATTGAACCGTTCTCCTTATAAATACCCTTTTGTCTATACAGGCCTTAGTAACACAACTACACCCCTCCCAAATAGACTGATAACCTTATTATAGGTCTATTATCAAATTATATTGGAAATCCTTGAGATGTCATCATTTTCGAATTTCACCGTCAATGCTATTTTTAAAAATTAACTCGTTAATATATTCCCTCGTGCTTTTAACACCGTCGATTTAGTTGTAAAATATATAATAATCCGTTATCATCCACAGCCGATGTTCAAATTAGGTACATAATTCGAACTGAACAAAAGCAAACAATGACAAAGTGTCAAAAAACATCAAATTAATCGCTTCACGTACCAAAATTTGTTTACACGAGACGAACATGTAGTAATACAAATTGGTCAGAACAGAATTGTCAACTTTAACTCTTTTGACGCCGCCACGTCCTATTTTTGGTATTTTATGTACAAATTTACATTAAATGCGATATATTTTTATACACATATAATTTGAACTACTTTTTTATCAACTTATAAAATTGCTGTACAATTTAATTTACAGAAAATACGCCTGTTTAAATTGACCCTTGGCGAATCTGTGCCTGCGAACGGGGTGTCGTTACAAGTGGGATATTAACCTGGTCCTCATATGGGGTCATTTAACCCAGAAAGTAGGTTGACTCCATCTTAGACGCCATTGTCGGCGAATATCTTTAAAATAGAATTAAATGGTCACCTTACATATAAATATGTTCATTGTCAAACGAGGTATTTGCAGAGTTGCGTTTATCACTTAAACGAAAGTTAAGGAAGGTTTTGTGATTTTGCTTGGTACCCGATTAAGTTCGGTATCAGGCTATTATTTTAATTTTATTTGTTTCAAGTAAAATGGTAGGCATACCAACAATACAATACAGTATTCAACAGACCCAACAAGAATAGCAAGAAACAAAGGAACAATGAATAAGAAATATAACATCAAATCAAATATTTATACTAATAATATACATCTGAGTTGCTGAACTGCTCTCTGGTAGTGTTTCATAATAACAGTGAAAAAATGTAAAGTAACATCATAAATCAATTTTGGGCTATTGAAAAATGGATTCAGAAATGAAATGAAATGAAACGGGGTTTAACGTCTTACTGCCTTGCTCTGACTGGGCTACTGAAAGCGGGTAAACGACATGCATTGTACTGTGGGAGAAATGTTACCCGGACATCGACGCTACGGCCTACTCTTAGATCGAATTCCAACTGCCAAGGGATATTTTACGTGCACGCCAATGTGTACACCGGACCTTGCAAGGCCCTCTGCCCTTTACCACTGAACAACGCCGGAAAATCCCGATGAACTTTCTCGGCCAACGCAGAGATATAACACGGAAACAACGTCCTACTCACTGAGCTACCGTGGCTCCCATGGATTCTATGTCACGATGGCTTTGTTTGTAAGGCGCTGACTAACTAAACAGGACTAGTGGCGCAGGACCAACGTCTAGTCGTTCGGACACGTGAAAGAAACCTTGACCTTTGGAATTCGATGAAGACTGAACAGATACACAAACAAGTTGGATGTTAAAATGGGTTCCATATGAAATCAGGGAACTAGAAAGAATCGTAACAGATGTCGTTTCACTCGAGTCTGATGCATAGGAACCGAGCCAAGCCACGAAGCTTGTATTAGATGGGCGTGGTGGTGTTCTTAACGATCACTTGACGAACGGGGATTTTCATAGTGTATCAGATTATCACGTGGATGAATGTGTGTAAATCGCTGTATCGTTTTACTGATAACGGCTGTATACAAACATCCCAGCCTATAAAATTATTGGGGTGTAAAATTTAAAAGTGACTTTGGCTTATATCAGAGGTTATCTTTCGGGTTTTTTTATTTATTTTTTTTTTCTTTAGACGTCGAGTGTACTTTAGATGATAATCTGTTAAGAGTCTTGGGTAACTCTACAGACGTACAGCATTTATATCACTACAAATCCTGATACATGTTAGTATTAAATGCTATAAAGACGTCAACACAGATAGATAATCCATTCCATACTAAATAAGTCAAATCAATTTTATTACATGTTTACTGATCTTAAAATGTCCCTGTCGAAATTCATTACACCGGGAATAGTTTGACTTCTGGATGTGTATAAATCAAATGGGATATTTTAAGTGTATTGGGAATTTATTTGGGGTGTGGTTTAATGAGACTGGAATAAAAAGGGATGGAGTTTAAGTCCCGACAAAGCATTACTTCGATCAACATGGTCCTCGGTTTATCGTTACATTTCAACCGCCAGACCCACAGACACCATCCGTGACAATTGGGAAACCGGTCTTGACAAATCCAGAGGTTATTCGAACCCTCGATATTTTCGACAAGACTACAGTGCCCTTAACGCTCAACACAACGGCTCCGCCCTGAATCCGAGAATCGTGATTGAAGTAGTCTGATACCTTTAATTATTAGTTCAGACGTAATGTTATAGTAAACCGAGGACACATAGACTTGAAATCTGATATAAAGTTTATTATAGTTGTAATCATGTTGTTGAGTAGATGCTATCTTTTTATACGTATGTTCTTTCTATATTTGTAACAACAAAAAAAGTGGTTGACGTTTTTGCACATTGAAGGTCGACGTTGGGTTAGGTTCTATTTTCTCATGTAGTGAAGGGCGCTTCAAGGACAGTCGTGTCTAGTTTATCGCAAGGGGCGAGTAATAAATATCTCTCAAAGACTTGGATCTGGATCTAATTTAAAAGCGCAGGTAGGTTTCTTTTTCATTCAATACAGTGTCAAGAATTGAAGGTCGATATTGGGCTAGGTATTAACTTGTCAAGTAGTGAAGAGCACTTTATTAAACAGTTGTATCTAGTTTATTGCAAGGGATGAGTAATACATATCTCTCGAAAACTTGGATTGAATCTAGAAGAAATCGATGGTAGGGGGGAAATATATGTCTATTAAAACATTTGAATGAAGTATACCTGAAGTATATTTAATAATGGTTAGTAAAACAAATCACAACTATCCGTCATGGATTACAGAGACATGTTAGTGTAACCCTCGATGATTTACGTTTTTCCTTTGACTAGGGCCTCAGTGTGGTTAATGGTATAACAGGAAGTGAAATATTTCAGATTTGCATGTCAAGTAAATTCATTCAGTCATTCAGTCATTCAGCAAATCTATCTTATAATTTACATTCAATTGGTATTGAAGGAGAATTAAAAACGTGTAATCTCGTCACAGTTGATAAAATGTAGACCGTTTAGTCCGCTATTGAATGACTATACTTATATATAAGTTTACTATTTAAATCAAACGGTTTATATTGTGTATGAAAGAGCATTTATATAAATGTAAATACGAAGATATCACTAGTGCCGAAAAGAATGATAACTTTCCCGGAGAGTTAAGTAATTTAAAGGAGTCGTACCAGATATAATTTAGTGAACTGAGGAGTTAGTTCTGTGTGGAAGACGCAAAGAATCATACTTTCTAACAGTTTCTAGTTGAGGTTGGCCCGAAGCCAGATCGGTCACATATTGTCCAATAGTCAAAAATATGTACTACGTTAATGTAAAGATTGTTTTTTTATAATTATGTAATCAAGCACATCCGAGTATATAAAATATAGTATTATTAATACTTAAAGATGATGATGTCAAAATGATTGAACAAAAATAAAATCTTAAATAACTATAACTTATGAGGGAGTCACGGTGGCAAGTGGGTAAGGGGTTGGTTCGCTAGCCTGGAGATCGCGGGTTCGCTCCTGGTGCTGGCGAGAAGTTCATCGAGATTTCCCTGCATGATTTCCCCTTGTCAATGGTGCAGGACGCGGGACCCGACAAGAACAGCTGTCTGGTCGTTCGGATGAGACGGAAAACCGAGGTCCCGTGTATCCCTTGGCAGTTTGTATTCAGTATAAAAGTAGGTCGTAGTACCGCTGTCCGGGCAAAAATTCCACCCGGAGTAGAACAGTAGGAAGTTTAATCCTCATGGCACACTGTGTGGGAATGTCCATCTTCATTACCCCAGTCTGAGCAGACCCATAGACCGTTATCATAACTTATCATAAATGTATTGTACTATAGACCACGGTGCCGGTGACCCCGTTGGTGGCATTTGGTAGTTGCTGGATTTCGTAGAATATGCTGGTTTGATTTTCTATTATATCTGCGGGTTAGCATAGTATTTTAATGTATTTATTTCACCATCAGAGGAGATAGTTTACGTGTTTCTATATTCAAACAATACAATAATTTACATATATCTGTTTCTTAGTTTAAGAATTCGGATGACTACACTGGACGCTATCAGCCCCCTCCCCCACCAATATAAATGTCGTTCCGACGTCCCCGAACTGTCATCATCGTCCATCTTTGTTTAATGTAATATTCCTACTTATTGACAGCTTGATTTTAAACTAATAAACAGAAAATTGATTTAGTTGAATTACACCCGTATAATAATAAGTAAAACTATATCTGTTTCATAATGAGAAAAAATATCCTTGGCCCTAACCGTTATATATCTGTTATTTGTTTTTTTCTATTGACGTCTTCTAATAACTTATAAATGGAAAATAAATCATCATGCTATATCTTATTCTTAAGTGCTTTTAATAAAATCATCAGCTTCACCTAATGTAGGCAGTCAGGTTATAACTGCGGCATCTTGTTCTATACAGAAATGTAAATGAATGTCTTGTGGGTATAGAAGAATTAAAAAAATAATCCAGACAAGTCGTGTTTACCGTCTCTTTGAATTTCTATTTTTGATGTCAATTAAAATTGGTTAAAATATATAATTTGATTAATACCTCTTATTTGATATTACTAAAGAAATGATACAAAGACAATCCCTAATGAAAGTCGTGCTTAGCGTGTCTTTGAATTTCTCTTTTTGGCATCACTAAAAATTGATTAAGATTTATACCTACTGTGGTTAATACCCCTCATTTTAATATTATTACAGAACTGATATATAGACAATCCCCATTAAATGTTAAAAAAAACAACACCAAACACGTACAGTTATTAAAATAGAAAGTCAACAATCGATTATAGGTAATTTGTGAAAAACAGATCACATCTTGTCATCTTTTTAATCATTACAGTTCTATGAATAGATGAGTCGTGTGTGCATGGCGTCCACAAAAGGCCTATTATTTTGTTCAGGATGTTGGCACCCTTTTGTCATCGGTACCCGCATTTACCGACTGTAAATAATGTCCAGTGAAATTAAAAAAAAAACAATAGCGATAAATATCATCATTTTGACATCTCCAATTTCTGAGATATTTTACCTCATCAGTACAGGAAATGAATCTTGTATAAAAAAGGAAAACAGAATTGTAAAACGACCTTTACTGGAATGAATAATGGAAAATTTCAACAGACTATTGCACAAGAGTTTAAATGTCAGCTGGTAATAATATCCCTTGTTAATTAAACCTTTCTATGCTGTTAAATGTGACGTCTACCAGGCAATAGTGAATCTTGAAAACCTTTAGTTGGCACCAAGTCCATACAAGAATGTTCTCAACCGATGGCTTCTATTGGTCATGAGTTTACCATATTTGTCTATGTTTATTGTATTGTTCCAAATTGGTCTTTGAAATAGAGTATCTTCGCACTTTCGCGATTCTCTCATATAACAGATAAGCCATGTCAAGTCTTCTGAAAGGGTTTGTAGGCGGCGGTGGGTGGGGGGCGTAGTGGTCGTGCCTCGAACTCCAGCGGGTCGGTTACCTGTAGCTTACAGTGGCAGTACAAGCCCTGGTGTGAGCGTATGTGGCTTTGGTAATAGGGGCGCCTTCTCAACCTTGTTGGTTTACCACGGGTAATCCCCTCATCGCCCCTCCCCCTACAAGAAAGACTCCTGTGCGATATCTCTCTCGGTGGAAGCGGACGTTAAACACTAATAGAAGAAGAGGAAGTCTTAATACTGAAAAGTCTAATTCTAGTACAAACCAACTCCTCAAAATCCATTTGAACGTTTCCTCAGAATAAATTTGATTGAGGCATTTGCACTAATCTATTTTGAAAAAAATCCGTATATGATCAGCTATTATAACATTAAAAGATAACAATTCAAATGTTTCTTCTTAAAAGGTTACCACTAGACTAGACTATTGGCGCATAAAAGTCATTTAGTCAGTTTTAAAAGGTGTTTCTTTTGAAAAATGCGGTCTGACGTGGGTAGTCTTATCTGATATCTGTGTTTATTTGAGATAACCTTAGACTATATAATATATATACATGATACAATGTTAAAAACTCTTCAAACGTTCATAAATCGTATAAAAGTTAAATTGAATTTTGTCGTTTATGAGAAATACATTACAACATGTGTTTACATTGTGGTATATTACCTCGTCTGTATGTTAGTTTCAAGTACGTTTTTAATGCGTGAAATCGGGAAGAATTATTTGCTTATAATTGATTAACTGTTCTTGGCAGTAGATTCAGTCGCAGTTGATGGATGAGGCTGAATATGGAACAGCATGTTGTGATATAAGAACAGCATTGAATTACATGGAGAATGGTTCCTTATAATTAATGTAATATTACGTAGGCATCAAGGGTGAATCGAGGTAAATGTGTTTGTGGTGGGGGGGGGGCGTGTGTGGGAGTGGGGTCATTGGGTCTTGTGCCCTTTTTGATCCACGCTTATTAAAATTGAAATCAACTAAACGGGACATTATCGAAATATTTACTAAACAATTGTCTTCGAAGGCAAACAATCCACAACTTAAAGGAGCTAAATCGCCATTCTTTGGCGCCTATAAATTGATACAAATGGGTCACAACGCATATAATAATGTAATATGAATGTATATAAACTGATTTACATTCATTTGTTTCTGTTATTAACTGTAATTTCTAATCAGTTGTTTTCGGCGAAATACGCGAACAGTTCAAATTGAATGACAGTCTTTGAGGTCTGGTTATTTCTGTCTACACCGGTAGTATTCTCCTACATGGGGTATGTTTAGACTCGTTCGTCGAGTCGCTTTATTATGCTTGAAAGCATTATGGCCCACGATTCGTGTGCCAATTTTAACGTTTTCATTTGTGTCTGCAATGTCGAAGACTGAGTATGATATTGCGTTAAAGACTCGCCTCCTTTAATTACAATTTACCATTCCATTTCTAACCGATAAGCCGAGAAGTCAAGTGTATTCTGTCATGTCGAGAAGTGTATTATATTATCTATGGTGGTTTTATTTTAGTCTTACAGTCTTTATAACCGACTGGTTAGAGTGTTATTTATTATACGTTACGTCATTAGAAAATACATATACATCAGATCACAGGGAGAATACGTCATGGCACCAAATGTTAAAACATTTATAGATCATCACATTACACTCAAGTTAAAAAGAAATAAGAACCTGAATATTCGAAATTAGTAGCAATGAAGCAAGATTTGAATTGGCCGTGGCTTATTTCTTTAGGATACTAAGAAATTATAGTTGGCCCAAACTCATCCGCCACTTGATTTATTAACTTCTTCTAAAGGAGAGATGTGTGTTTTAAGTTCTGTTCACACAAAAATTCGCTTTTTCTGAAACCAACATAGGTTATCTGTTTCTGTGGTCACGTGTTCTGTGGTGGCGGTGGGATTCGTTTATCCAGTTTTATGTGTCAATGGTTCTTTTACGTACACACCAATTTCTACACTATATATAATGGTCTTCGTGTTTCCTTGTCAGCGGGAAGCAGCTTGACAAAAAATCATGGACATTCTATTTGA